CCTAAAGGAGAAAAAACAACTCATTGGTTGAGGAGAAAATCTACTTACAAATCGAGCAATGACAAATCTCCCCCATTATTTAATGACCAATAAAGCAATCAATTTGTGTTTCTTTTTTTTCTCCCAATAAATGCATGAGCAGGCTTTTGGTTAGAAAGTGAGTATAGGCCTTAAGATAGGGTAAATTTCACCTGCATTTACTAAGTTTTTCGACACACATACGCACAAGAGTGCGTGTGGATCCAACGGTAAAAAGAAATTGCACAACGGTAAGGTCGATCCTACCCGTGACTAAATTGAAGTCGTTGAGTTTTTTACAGTTGGATCAACAGACAATGCCATGTCTGGGCCATGCAAAATAGGTAACAGTAAAAAAAAATGTACGTGTTTTTCACAATTTTACTGAGCCCAGAGTTATGACAGAGCTTTCATGTATTTACCAGTGGATAAATTGAACTAAAACAGGCATTGAAATCACTCGGATATTGAGAGGTCAATTTTTATGTACTTGCTCAGCTTAAAGTACTCTCGAGTTAGGTGGGGAAAATTTAAGCAAGTAGGACCCATTTTGGACCCGTCAATGAGATCAGATATTAATTAGCTGGAAATAGGGGGGAAAAAACACTTCAACTTGTTAATTTTGAAGAACCAAAAGTTCACATTATCAATCGTCAGTTTTGCTATGAACCATCGAATGACTCGACTTATGAAGACATCTACACTTATTCACCAATAGTGTATTGACACGTGTCCTACAATAAATACAATTTGAACAAGTGTCAACACATTAAGTGGTAGATGACTCCATAAGAAAATCACCCGATAGCTCCATAGAATTTTTGTATCAACGGTTTTCACCTAAGTAACTATCTGTTTTAAAATATTTTGTTTTGGAAAAAATGAGCTATTTATTTAACTGGTTTGTCATAAATGTAGGTTGATTGTACAGTAATGCATAGAGAGATGTGTGAAAATAACTTAAAATTATAGCTGAATCGGAACTTATAATATAAGGTAAGGCATTAAATCAATTAGTAAATAATTTTTACAAGAGATTATGCACAATTCAATATTAAGTGATGTTTTTATCTCGTATAAAGTTTTACCCAGTGAATCTAGATAGACTCGAAATGAAGTATAAATCACAGTTAATAGATAATTTGGTTCAGAAAAGAATGTACTGATGCTTTTGCTTGGTTACATATACGTCTACAGTTTATATACATGTTGGTATATTACAAATATGGCTGCAAATTAGTCGAGCGACGCGAGCGTTCGAGTCAATGCTCGGTCAAACTCAAGCTCAAGTTGAGTTCAAGCAGTTCAAACGAGCAAACAAATCGAGAATCGAGCATCATTTCAAGAGGTTCGTAAGCTCGATGAGCCGCTCGACTTTTTGTACATAAATACCCCACATAGTTTAATTACCATTATTAGAACATCAGGGCCAAAATGGTCTATATTGTCTATTTGGATAAAAATAGTACCTTTATATTTAAATTTTAGTTGTTAAAATTACGAGCCATGTCGAGCATCGAGTCGATCTCGAACATTCTTATTTTTTCACGAGTCAAGCACCAGCAGCATTTTACATGGCTCGTCAAGCTCAAGCTCAAGCTCAAGCTCGAGCAATGAAGAAAAAAGTTGATCTACGCTCAACAAGGTTCATGCTCGACTCGACCCGTTTGCAACCCTAATTACAAACCATGTTCAAGAATATCAAGTAAAAGAATAAGATACTTACAAAAATACCCTGCCCTATGTTAGAAATTGTTTATAAATTTATTACAATCTCAATTCTGAAGAATTTTTCCCATCAGACAGTACATAGCTATACACCGATATTAAGTTATTAACTTCACTACCTTTCCTTTTCGAAAGCATTCCTTTCCTTGCAACCCTCCGTTTAGAAAACAGCATGTCTTGCTTAAGACGTACCTTCAAAAATTCTGATTAACCGATGCATAGAATGCAACAAATGTGTTGCATATGAGTTTTTGGCAAAAAGCTTCTACTTTCCGATGACACAACTTATAAATAGTTGAAAACACGAGCTCATATAAATAACTGGTAAGTGAAAGCAAACTACAAAAACGAGACGCGGTACAAAATTGGATAATGATATATAAGCTTCAAGAAAAATAACTGGCAGTGAAAGCAAACTACAAAAACGAGACGCGTGCAAAATTGGATAATGATATATAAGCTTCAAGAAGGGATTGACAATACCTGAACAACTCGAGGCTCTTTATGAGGCATATTTCTTTTCTTACTCTTTTCAAATCTGAATAGATGCACAGGAATCTGTCTTGGATCCTCCTTTCTAGGATCATCTTGAGAAGGGCAAATACGACATTAGCACATTCCAAAATACTGGTTTTCGAAAATTTATAAAGAGAAACGGAGAGTTGCCTCATTGCTGCCTAGTGCCAACTTATCGTGGCAATATGTACAGCATAATTTAACCCTTCTAGCAATATGGCTTGAGCTTGACTATAATTTATTGACCAAACCAGCATCATAAAAAGGAATTCACCGTCAAGGCACATTCAAGGAAAACCCACATAGAGCCAAATTTTATCTCAAATTCGTGAGACGTAATTTTAATAGAAGCAAACAAACAAATACTCAAATGTCTTTCATAAACAGAAAACAGTTCAAACAACACTAAGATAAAAAAGTGCAATGAAAGACAAACATTCATCAACCAGCAGTACGACTCACAAACAAACGAAAATAGAATAACTTAACCATACAGCTGAGATAGATCTAAATTAAAAGTCCAATCTGATACATTTATTGTTCTAGTGAAATTGAGGAAGGGCAGCAAAAGTTCTTGGGAGCATTACACATTAAGCTTGGCAATATATGGTAACAAGAGTCTGGACATGGCATTTTCACTGAGAAGGATCATCAGTTTTTTCCAAACGCAGTAATCATCTGGTCTTCAGGTTTAGGCAGGGTTAGCTTCATCAATATAGGCAATAGGCTGACTTCAAGGCTTCAGGTATCTCAGCTGTTGTGTTGGGAAGGGAAAGGAGACAAAGGTAAAAGCATAGGATCAGTCATATTGGGAACACTGGTACTGGAATTACAGCAACTGTCACGATTTAGTATGATGTGCCACTTGCAAGTGTAGATAGATAACCAACAAAAAAAATTGCTGGGAGAAAGTTGGATTATAAACAATAAAATGATATGGTCTACCTGTAATTTTAACAAGCGTTTAGTAATCATATGTTCTGCCACGTGAACCATGGTTACGTCCAGATAACCTGGTAAAAGGGAGATTACTATCAGGGACAGAGTATCGTAATAGCTTGTGCAAGGTATTGGTAAAAGTGTGAGGCGATAAAGTGGATAATTCAACTTCCTCAGTGTAGAAAAGAAGCCCGACAGGAAAGACAGCCGCATGAATAAAATGGATAATGGTCAAAAGACAAGTGTTTCGGTCAACCCAGCACTATCGGCTAAACCATGAAGGGTCAAGAAAAAAAAAATGGAATTGGGCAGACAAAATGTTCTGTTCACCACCATTATTGAAAAAGAATGATTGAGCACTATACTCATAAACCTGGCACAAGTCTTCGGTAAACACAAAACATTAAATCCACATGAAACACTGAGATTATCTTACCCAGAACCAACCGAACGCCCAGGCGAGTAACTCCCATAAGCACCATAAGCAGAACTACCACTACCACCCTGGAAATGCCAAGAAGAAGTTGAACTTCATAAATCAAGTTCTTGCAGATTACATGAAATATAACTTGACAGGTCAAAATAAAAATTTGATATTACCTGACCTCCACCATAACCATCATAAGCATCCACAGGTGGCAAATCAACCGAATTACCGTATCCACCAGAATAAGAATACCCACGCCCACGAGCCCTTGAGTCCCTACTTTCATACTTCAGGCTCCCTGAGACATCTGCAGGCATCGGGACATAGGGAACAACCGGCAAAAATGCAGGCAAAGCACCCTCCTTTTCGAAAACATTGGCCCTCAAGCGCGAAGTTACTCGAATGAGAGCATCCTTAGCAATATCAGGGTCTCCCGAAATCTGGCCATATCAAAAATGAAATAAAATCAATTTCCAACATCCCAAACACTTGAATTTTCAACGTTTATTGTTCCTTCAAATGGCTGGATCTCTCCTATGCTTGACTAACCATTTTTTTTTTCCGGAAATATAAATTCCTCTCTTCCATATTTCTTACTTTGTTTAGACAACAATGCGTATCTGAACTTAATAAAAGGCATTAACACACAAGTTTCAATTATAAGTTGAACCGAAATAGTTTGAAACTCTAAGTTGGAACAATTATTCAAAATAGAGGGCACCTGTGAAAACATCATTTGCGGCTCAACATTACATTATATTTTTTTGACAGTTATTATTTTAATCCCTTTACCTGAACCATCTCATCGTCACTGGAAGCTACTTTAGGTAGGTTTTCTTTTGACAGTATGCGGATATTGGCCCTGGTGTCTTTCCTCATCTCAGATATTATAGACCCTCCTTTCCCAATCAGACACCCGACTTGTGAACTGGGAACAAGTAATCGTGTTGTGTATGAAAAAAGACCAGAGTCCCTCTCAACCTTATCGCTGCACCTGGGCTGCAAGCGAATAGCTGCATCGATTGCTGAAGAAATAGTATCGTCGAAAATCTGATAACATGAAATAGGAATTACAGTTATAAAATGGAATCTTCCATAATCCATTCAAATTATCAATGTAGTATTGCTTTGCACAACATTACCTCCTTTGAAGATATCAAAATCAAGCAATCATCTCCCTCGGTGGACGAACTATCGACTTTAATGGACGCACCAGAATCCTGCCTTATTTGGTTGATTATCTGGCCACCTTTGCCAATGACACCTCCGATATTCGCAGTGGAGCAAACAAGACGAAGTGAGAATTCTTTAGGAGATGCTTCACCTCTTGGACCCGAATACAAGGACCGAGACCAATCTGCACTCTCTCCCTTGTACCCCCCATAGTGCCCCACCAGTGGAGTTAATCCCATGATTGGGGCCCTACCCGTGGATCCCATAACCGAACCACCAGAAGAGTAGATGGTATGAGCAGAGGACGAGAGAAGATGCTGAGATCGGGAAGGATTGTCGTGAAGCCGAGCCGCAATCTGATAAAGAGCCTTCTTCACCACTGAAGCATCACCCGAAATCTGACTCAACAAGCAAACGAGAAAACCATTACACTCAGTTTCATAAAGTTCTGCTAAAACAAAAATAAATAAAAAAGAGGAAGCATGAAGTTCAAATACCTGTACAAGCTCGTCTGAATTCAACGCACATGTCGGCAGATGGTCATCTTTCATTATACGAATCTGTGCCCCAGTTTCACTTCGGATGTTCTGTACTATCTGCCCACCTTTCCCAATAACACAACCAATCTGATCGGAAGGCACCAAGAGCCGAACACTTACTTGTGGGGCCTCCTCCATATCCTCCTCTTCTCCAATGTCCTCAGAAACAATTCTATCGTGAATCTTGAAAAGAGCATCTTGAGCTGGACACACACGCTCGTCTGTGCGTTCAAAATCGTTGGTATCCTCACTGGCGCTGTAAATAGTGACGACACGCTCGTCGCATCCGGGCACGGACTCGCCGATTCGGATCTTCGATTTTGTGTCGGCCCTCAGTTGCTTGACAATCTCCCCACCCCTCCCGATAATGCTCCCAATCTTCTTTCCCGGGCACAGATAGCGGTAAACAGTGTCATCAGGCCCGATGGAGAATCCGTCCTTATCACCACCTCCAGAGTTTCTTCGTTTGTTTTCCCCCCTTTCGGGATAGTCGGAGTTAGAATGAGATCGTTTTCCATAGCTACTCCTGTGACCGGCCATTCTGGAATAATAAATTTGATTACCAGTCTGAATTAAATAAATCTCGTACAATAAATCCACCGATTTTCACATGCTTTACAGCTTATTAGATTATGAATCGCGATACCTATTTACAAATAATCAATGGGCGTACTATATGCTACCACACGAGAAAAAGGGCAATAACCCAACACCACCACGAAGTCGAAAATATGAGTCACGGCTACCAACACTATATAAAATTTCGACTCAATCAAATACTTCCAGTACCCTTGTTAAATTGCATCACACATCAAAAATATATAATAAATTGTACATACATGAATCCACAACCCATGAATCCACAACCCAAGTCCCAACACTCACATTCTATAAAATTAAACCCAGAAATTGGTCAAACTGAGTTTCAATCTCAATTCCAAATTAGTTTATCTTGTGCCCAAAATCAAATGAACATTGATTTAAATGGAATGGTGTCCTGTCCTAACAAGGACCACCGGAAATGGGGATGAAGAAATTGGAACTAATCAACAGCACGCGGCGAACAATATTTCGAGTTTAACTTACCAGGTCGGAGAGCTATAACAGAAAAATAATAATAATCGGAAAAAAGCACAACAGAAGGTGAAAAATCAGATCGGCCAAACAGAAATCAAAGGCTTGATGAAAAATTACCTTGTAGAAGACGAGATTCTTGAGGAATAAGAACAAGATCAGCAAGAGATAGACGTCTCTTCGTAAGCAATTGTGTTTAAAATATCTAGGGTTTTGACACCGAATACGTATAGTAAGCTGTAATAATAGTACTTTGTGCTATTTGTGTGCAATTTCCGCGTATATCCAATAACTAGTACAACACCCGTGTATTACACGGGTGCTTGCTAATTTTTTCTTAAAATCTAAAATTAATGAGAAAAAGTAGTTTGAAAATTTAAATACTTTTTATAAGAATATANNNNATAATTGTTTGTCAAGAAATTATTCTTAAATTTTAAAATTAACGAGAAAAATTATTTTAAATTTTATTTATTTTTTTACGAATAATATATATTAGAATGACATTTGTTACTCGTGCGACTTATATGTATTATATTATAGTAATTTTTATAACTTATATCATATAACTACTTGAAATATAAATATATTAATTAATAAATAATTTTATTTTTATAATTAATATTATAAATAAATTTATATGGATGTTAAATCGAAACTCATCAAGAGATGATTAATTTGATATACTATATATGTAAAACTGATACAAATACAAAAGTTATTAAATTTCAAAATACATTTACAATTCAATGGTTATATTCGAAATGATATTAAAATGCAATTAATACATGTAACATGACCATAAATAATCAACATATTTATAGATAGTCCGAACCTAATTATTTTTGAATTGGAAGTAAGTTAAAATCTACCTAAGTCTAACAACGAAGTATGTAAATTTTGACACATAAGATCCCAAAGCATGCGAGTTTGTGCCACTTAGAGCATCCACAATGATTTGGGTTTAATCGCAAAAAATTATATGTCACCTAAGAAATAGACTCGATCTAAAAAATTATATTCTCCAATGCAAATAAAAGTAGACTGGGTTCTACTGATGTGGCAGCCAGAAAAATAGACCTAATTTACCCTTAAATCTATTTTAGACCCAAGTAGAGACATAGTCTCTTTGCATTGGAGGATTTTGTTAATTTTATAAAGTTTTATTCATGTCATCCAATACTTGAATTTATTTACATGGCACATAAGCAAAAGTAGATCTAATTCATCGTAGATGCTCTCACATACAACACATTTTGCATTAATATATATGGGGGATTATACATATTACTTTAGCAGTCAAACAGTCGAATAAAACAGTTATCTACTTGAATATAGCCGGAAGAACTAACAGTCTATCTAGTTGAAAATAATTGGAAGAACTACACCAACAATAGATACTTAGGAAATAAAATAAAACTCTTCCTGCAAGTAAACCACTTTGAGGAAACCGCAACGACGACACCAACAGATATCCACACACAAAGATAGAGCCAAGGCCCATAAATGAGATAAGAACTACGCCCAACTCGATCTGACGCCAGAGGATCAAAGAGCCGCACGTGGCAAAAGGAATGTGAGCTAAAATACGTAATAAATAAATATACAAATAGTAGGTTCTCCGAGCTGACCATCTAATATCGACCAACTTTTCAAACGTAAAGATCGTCCACTCCTGAGCTGAGCAGAATTTCAAATGATCGGCCGACCCATATACCATAAAAAAAAATCATCTTAATATAACGTAAATTACTGATAAGACAGACGTCTATCGAAACTGTCAAGCATTATCATTGGGCCTCACACGATCACATTACATTAAATACCATTTTCTATTATTTTATTCCTCATTTTCTCTTTTCTACATGTGAGGTCATATATATATTTGGCGACGATTGTTGTAAGGGAAGGAGGATCTTATCTAAAAGAGAGAGGAGGAGAGAAATTCTCCCAAAATATCAATGAAAAATAAGCTTCATCCTCTATCTTTTTGTTCTTTCCAATATACAAAAATTCGAGAAATATTTTGGTAGTGGTACGATTTTTAATATCAACAACACCATTATACTAGATTGTCCACAAAATAAAAGAGATACTTCCATTGCATTCACAAAAAAGATACATCCATTGTACTCACAAAATGGCCAACTACAACATTCAAAAAATGATCAACAAGTACATCTAGTTTCAGTCAATGCTCAAACACAACCATTACCCTTCAAAAAGCATAGAACAATCAAAGCCAATAGTTGCCAACAACACGAGCCTCTCAAATATCTTCCTTCTTGCAACATCTTCAACTTTTGGCCCGTTTCGAAAGCCTAGGAATGAGTTTTTGTGCTCTATAACACATTGGAGGGTCAACCCAAACATGAGATGTGCACCCACCCATCATGTGGAATTTGAAAATTAAAAAAAAAAAAATGATATGAGGTGACAAACACAAATGTCGGAAAAAACTCCCAAATTAAATTAGCAAATTGAAGTCAAGAGAAGAAACTGAGTGACACTCACTCGGTATTTCTCGCACGCTGAGTGCCTCTGCCCCGCATTACCATCAGCCCATGACGTCTTTCTCACAGTAGGCTTCCCATAGCGGCACAAATCATCAATTAGCTCTTCCAAAATTTGACGGGACAATTATTTCAAGAAGTAAATGGAAACCTAGAACAAAAGAGGGGAAAATTAGAGAATTTGGAGAAATGTTTTCTCGCAAATGACCGAGTGAGAGGTAATTGTATGTGGTTAAAAACCGGTTTAAATCAGGTGAAATCAAACTTGGTATGGGGGTAACTTGCCAAACCCGTATAGTTCAGGTAGTGGTAAAAAAAATCATATGATGATGCGCCAAAAATTGTGATAGTTCAGATTGGAAAAAGTTTTTTTTCCTTATTTATAATAATACTTTATTTATACTTGTGCATGAGCAACTGATTGAGGTTTTTTTTTAGCGATCTTGGTTAAATTAACGCACTTAACTACTAGCATTTGAAAATGATATTTAAGTTAGTGATCTTGGTAGTATAGGAACTGTTCGGGTCCAACGTCTTGTAATGGGAACAATCGTCAAATTCATGGATAAAGGTGAACTCAAACGGAACCCAGAATAGATCCTCAGGTATGACCTTTTTCGGCAGGGTTGCTTTGGGACTCGCAAGGCACATGACTCGATGGCTTCTTGATGAATATTGGAGAATGCTCTATAACTTATGGGGTTTATTTCAAAGTCTTAACTTAGCATGAAACTTGGGATTTTGTAGGGTAGAGGCTGAAGACGACAATTCTAGCATCGTGTGATTTACTAATAATAACGAGGATATAGAAGGGGTCCATTCTTGCTTAGTACTAGGGGTACGAGAGCTCCTCAGTCGAGATTGGCAGGTAAAGAATTCACACATCTTATGTGAGGCCACTTTATTTCGAACTGCTTACGGCTTTTGCAGCTACGACCTCCCTTGGGTATCAGTAGCTTCCAGCTCCGCCTTGTGGTGTTGTTCCGTAGCTAGGCTGTAAATGAGCCCAGCCGAACTCGACTCGTGAAGTTAACGAGTCAAAAATCAAGCTTGCGCCTTGTCGAGCCGATCTCGTGCTTAACGAGCCGAACTATAAAAAATTATATAAAAATTCTCTTTTCGAGCCTTATCGAGCCGAGCTTGTCTCGTTAAACAAACGAACTTTAAATGAACATGAGCTCGGCTCGTTAAGACCTCGAGCTTTAGGCGACCTCGAGCCTTAACGAACCGAGCCAAGCCAAACTCGTAATTTAGCCAGACTCGTATAATTTATCAGCACTATCCGTAGCTTGAGCACAACATAAGATGTGTCTCTTATCCATGAAATGTTTGTCTCTAATTGCTCATGAGCAACCACCTCTCCTTGTACCAAAAAAAAAAAAAAAAGATATTCAACGATAAAAAAAAAAAAAGATATTTAATTTTGAGATAGTTTTGTATCCAAACATTCTCTAACTTATTATAAAACTGAAAGTGATGACTTTGTATGTAATGATTTAGGGAGACACGCAACATGTTTGTTTATGAAATTTTTTGGGTTTGTTTGGATTTTTTTGTTTAGTGTGGTTAATTTTGAAAAGGTGGTATGGTTAGTTGTTATTGGGTATATTAAAATAATATTTAAAATAAAATAATTAAAATTAAATTGATGTAAAAGTAGGAGAGAGAAGATGTGATGTAATGTTAGTTAAAATTATATGAGTAGATGAATAGTGAATTAAGGTTGATATTGTGTGTATGAATGATTGATTGATATCATTTAATTATATAGATAATATTGATAATAGTGGTGTGGAGTGATGTTAGTTAAAATTATATGAGTAGATGAATAGTGAATTAAGGTTGATGTGGTGTGTATGAATGATTGATTGGTATCATTTAATTATATAGATAATATTGATAATAGTGGTGTGAAGTTAAAGTTGAATTAAAAAATAATAATTAAGTTAAAAT